AAACAAGTCATGCATTGATCAAATCGCCACATTACAGATCATCATTGAACAAAGCTTGGAGTGGCAGTCACCTCTCTATCTCAACTTCATCGACTTTGAAAAGGCCTTTGACAGCGTCGATCGAGAGGTGATTTGGAAACTACTTCGCTACTACGGGGTGCCACCGACAATAATACATCTCATCCAACAGCTATACGACAATGATGCATGCCAAGTAATCCACAATGGGAAACTCATGGAATCCTTCGAAGTGAGGACAGGAGTAAGACAAGGCTGCCTACTATCACCGATGATTTTCTTGATTGCAGTAGACCGGATAATGCAACAAACAGTGGGCAATGAGGAAACAGGCATAAAATGGACACACACAAAGAACTTGGAGGATCTGGACTTCGCCGATGATATATGTCTGATTTCCCACAAACTGGAAGATATGCAAGCGAAAAGCAACAAATTAGCAGAAGAAGAATTAAGGATAGGACTTAAGGTGAACATAGAGAAAACAGTGGTGATGAAAATTCCTGGGCAACACCACCAACAGCAACAACAACAATCAGCATAAATGAAAGGGACCTGAAAGAAACAACCTCCTCTACCCGCCGACCTGGGAAGCATCGTTTCAACTACAGGCGGACGGAACTGACGAGGATATCAAAGCGAGAATCGGAAAAGCAAGACAAGCTTTCACTACTCTCAAGTCTGTGAGGAGGTCAACAACACTCAGGATCAAAAATAACATCCGGATTTTCAACTCCAATGTGAAGTCAGTCAGTTCTACTATACGGATCAGAGACTTGACGCGTCACAAAGAGCACCTCAAACAAGCTACAGACATTCATTAACAGATGTCTTCGCTCAATACTCAAGATCTGATGGCCGGCCAGAAAAGATCAGCAACAGGGATCTCTGGGAGCGAACCAACCAGGAACCGATTGTGAAACAAATAGGCAGGAAGAAATGGAGATGGATTGGTCATACTCTGAGGAAACCATCAAGTGACATCACTAGACAAGCCCTCGAGTGGAACCCGAAAGGGAAGCGACGAGTCGGTCGTCCAAGGGTGACCTGGAGGAGGAGATGAAAACGTGTGGGCAGATTTGGAGCCAGGTGAAAACTCTAGCAGAGAACCGAACGCAATGGAGACACACGGCTGAAGCCCTATGTTCCTGTAGGAATTAAAGGATACAATAATAATAATAATAATATAATAATCTCCACGAAAGCGTTTAGAGGTATTCATCCCATCACCTCAAATGACTCACTATTTTCAACCACTTAAAAAGTAAAAATAAATTTACCGAAGACAGTGTGCTTATGAATTTTAAATGCTGTAATTCAACATGAGGAAAAAGGTATATCTATAAGGTTGTAACAGTTAGACGCGCGATATTAATCCGAAATACAACGACTAAGATTCTCAATCACAACATTCTACTATGCTACCTAATCGTATAATCGCATAAACAAATGTTTCGCTGAGCAAAAAGAGACAACTGGTTCAAGTAAAATTTATTCAAAGTTTTCTTAAAAATCACGGACACCCGTATTTATAACCACAGAGAAATTACAAACATCCAAAATACAAGGATTTCATTATTTGACACGAAACAAGCAATTTGTATTCAGCCAATGCTTTCATCCCGAATAGTAATCAGGTTATCAGCTAGTTGTAACTTCGAGAAAACCGCCGATTATAGACCACAACCCGGAACGTCATTCTTGTTAATTAAAGTGTTACCTTTTTCTTGGATAGTTCGTACACTCACCAGATCATATGTTATCCGCATTTTCAGTCGTTTTGCAACAAACTGAATGATTGTTAACACTGGCTTTACTGCAGGCATTCCTAGTTCATTCATTTGGATCTATCACATTAGGCAGTAACAAGCATAGGTAACACTTACCCTTTAGAGGTTTCTGATCGTAACCCAGTTTCCTTTTGTTCCCAAACATACATACAAGCACAACAGATTCACACTTCTTGCGTGGCTCAACCTTGTTTGATTTCGATTCTTTCACAATTTACCTGATTTTCCAGCCGACTCTTTCAATTACTTTGAGCATGCGGGATAATTTCAGTTCAAACGGAATCTCCAAGTTTGCTGTACATTGATGCTTCAGTTTTGACCGCGAAGTAAATCAGCTGCGTTACTTCAGTCAGGTAGGTTCACTTCACCTTTTTGCTTCAATACACCTAATGCCTACTCTGCATTTATATATCTTCCAAATTTATCATGCTTAATTTTAAGTTGGCAAGCTTAAGTAAAACACGTATAAGATCAGCTGAGTTAGGTAATGCACATTACTGCATTATAGCACGAACATGCGTCCAAAGTTACTAGTCTTTTGAGGCCTTCTACTATAAACTGCCATGTCTTACAGCAATAAAAGACAAAGAAAACTGGTGCATTTCACACGTGCTTAAATGGATAGCCGGATGTTTCAACTACACCAAAGAGAGTGCAAGCTTCACTCGGCAAATTCCATACAAGCCTTTAGTATCCGTGCTTTAAATGTGTCAGAATTCAAGCTATTAGAGCTGATGCAACTTCTCAAATGGTTAAAATGGCAATCACCCTACTCCCTATCCTCTAACTGGGAGTTGGTGAAGACTAGTCCTACATCATCAATCTACATTTGGTAGGGGCAAGTAGTATGCCTAACATACTAGAATTCTGACCGCTAGCTGCTACCTTGGCGTGGTGAACAAGCGTGCACATTGCAATGACCTACGCTGGCTGGAACGAATATCCCAGCATGCCCTACTGTGTTAGAAATATCTTTCGATTAGTGATTAAACTAAAAGCATTTACCATCTTGGTGTTGGATGTTTGAGAGCAAAGTGGTACTGCTAGCGAATACGCATGTTAAAGTTTTATGTTTTTCCTCAGAAGACCACCTAGGTAGGTATCTTGCCTCTCCGATCTGGGGAGGGAAGTGGTTTAGACAAATCAAACCTGAAAATTGTATTTCCCGATTAACCCTGAGGCGTTCTGCAGCTAGTATTAAGCCCATCATGCAGATACATTTTAAAACCACTTCAATCAGGCTGCATGTGATCAGCCTCAAGAAGTTGTCCCTTGGTCTACATGATACAAACAACTAGTAAGTAGTAAATGGCCAAACTCTTCCATAAACACACAAAGCTTTCAGCAGAGTATTTCACCGGCTTCCCCGCTTTTCATGAGGCAAACACAAAGCCAACTTTTTTATATAATTTCCCGAATTCGAGATACAATCAATCACTCAAAAGTTTTTCATTTTTCGTAATGGTTTATCTCAATGAGTTCGACCCAGAAGAGATTAAAAATTCGTGGTGCTGTAACAATAACACATCTAATCAAACGTATAAAATAGCCAACTTACAACGAATGAATTTCCAGTAAACGAATGACTCTTCTCTGAGTTTAAGATCATAAAAAGCATTGGTTTTCAATATTTCTTTGCGTGTTGTTGGCTAGTGTTAGAGCATGTGCTGAAATCGACTCTCAGTCTCACCATTTTTGATGTGTTTAACACAAACTGACAACAAGAACTGCGCCAAACACAGTATCCTAATATTTACTGGTTTATTTTTCAAATTTATGAATACTATTGCATGTAGCGTCAAAAATAAGATCGGGATTTTCAACTCCAATGTGAAGTCAGTCAGTACTACTATACGGATCAGAGACTTGGCGTGTCACAAAGAGCACCTCAAACAAGCTACAGACATTCATTAACAGATGTCTTCGCTCAATACTCAAGATCTGATGGCCGGCCAGAAAAGATCAGCAACAGGGATCTCTGGGAGCGAACCAACCAGGAACCGATTGTGAAACAAATAGGCAGGAAGAAATGGAGATGGATTGGTCATACTCTGAGGAAACCATCAAGTGACATCACTAGACAAGCCCTCGAGTGGAACCCGAAAGGGAAGCGACGAGTCGGTCGTCCAAGGGTGACCTGGAGGAGGAGATGAAAACGTGTGGGCAGATTTGGAGCCAGGTGAAAACTCTAGCAGAGAACCGAACGCAATGGAGACACACGGCTGAAGCCCTATGTTCCTGTAGGAATTAAAGGATACAATAATAATAATAATAATATAATAATCTCCACGAAAGCGTTTAGAGGTATTCATCCCATCACCTCAAATGACTCACTATTTTCAACCACTTAAAAAGTAAAAATAAATTAACCGAAGACAGCGTGCTTATGAATTTTAAATGCTGTAATTCAACATGAGGAAAAAGGTATATCTATAAGGTTGTAACAGTTAGACGCGCGATATTGATCTGAAATACAACGACTAGGATTCTCAATCACAACATTCTACTATGCTACCTAATCGTATAATCGCATAAACAAATGTTTCGCTGAGCAAAAAGAGACAACTGGTTCAAGTAAAATTTATTCAAAGTTTTCTTAAAAATCACGGACACCCGTATTTATAACCACAGAGAAATTACAAACATCCAAAATACAAGGATTTCATTATTTGACACGAAACAAGCAATTTGTATTCAGCAAATGCTTTCATCCCGAATAGTAATCAGGTTATCAGCTAGTTGTAACTTCGAGAAAACCGCCGATTATAGACCACAACCCGGAACGTCATTCTTGTTAATTAAAGTGTTACCTTTTTCTTGGATAGTTCGTACACTCACCAGATCATATGTTATCCGCATTTTCAGTCGTTTTGCAACAAACTGAATGATTGTTAACACTGGTTTTACTGCAGGCATTCCTAGTTCATTCATTTGGATCTATCACATTAGGCAGTAACAAGCATAGGTAACACTTACCCTTTAGAGGTTTCTGATCGTAACCCAGTTTCCTTTTGTTCCCAAACATACATACAAGCACAACAGATTCACACTTCTTGCGTGGCTCAACCTTGTTTGATTTCGATTCTTTCACAATTTACCTGATTTTCCAGCCGACTCTTTCAATTACTTTGAGCATGCGGGATAATTTCAGTTCAAATGGAATCTCCAAGTTTGCTGTACATTGATGCTTCAGTTTTGACCGCGAAGTAAATCAGCTGCGTTACTTCAGTCAGGTAGGTTCACTTCACCTTTTTGCTTCAGTACACCTAATGCCTACTCTGCATTTATATATCTTCCAAATTTATCATGCTTAATTTTAAGTTGGCAAGCTTAAGTAAAACACGTATAAGATCAGCTGAGTTAGGTAATGCACATTACTGCATTATAGCACGAACATGCGTCCAAAGTTACTAGTCTTTTGAGGCCTTCTACTATAAACTGCCATGTCTTACAGCAATAAAAGACAAAGAAAACTGGTGCATTTCACACGTGCTTAAATGGATAGCCGGATGTTTCAACTACACCACAGAGAGTGCAAGCTTGCACTAGGCGGCAAATTCCATACAAGCCTTTAGTATCCGTGCCTTAAATGTGTCAGAATTCAAGCTATTAGAGCTGATGCAACTTCTCAAATGGTTAAAATGGCAGTCACCCTACTCACTATCCTCTAACTGGGAGTTGGTGAAGACTAGTCCTACATCATCAATCTACATTTGCTAGGGGCTAGTAGTATGCCTAACATACTAGAATTCTGACCGCTAGCTGCTACCTTGGCGCGGTGAACAAGCGTGCACATTGCAATGACATACGTTGGCTGGAACGAATATCCCAGCATGCCCTACTGTGTTAGAAATATCTTTCGATTAGTGATTAAACTAAAAGCATTTACCATCTTGGTGTTGGATGTTTGAGAGCAAAGTGGTACTGCTAGCGAATACGCATGTTAAAGTTTTATGTTTTTCCTCAGAAGACCACCTAGGTAGGTATCTTGCCTCTCCGATCTGGGGAGGGAAGTGGTTTAGACAAATCAAACCTGAAAATTGTATTTCCCGATTAACCCTGAGGCGTTCTGCAGCTAGTATTAAGCCCATCATGCAGATACATTTTAAAACCACTTCAATCAGGCTGCATGTGATCAGCCTCAAGAAGTTGTCCCTTGGTCTACATGATACAAACAACTAGTAAGTAGTAAACGGCCAAACTCTTCCATAAACACACAAAGCTTTCAGCAGAGTATTTCACCGGCTTCCCCGTTTTTCATGAGGCAAACACAAAGCCAACTTTTTTATATAACTTCCCGAATTCGAGATACAATCAATCACTCAAAAGTTTTTCATTTTTCGCAATGGTTTATCTCAATGAGTTCGGCCCTGAAGAGATTAAAAATCCGTGGTGCTCTAACAATAACACATCTAATCAAACGTATGAAATAGCCAACTTACAACGAATGAATTTCCAGTAAACGAATGACTCTTCTCTGAGTTTAAGATCATAAAAAGCATTGGTTTTCAATATTTCTTTGCGTGTTGTTGGCTAGTGTTAGAGCATGTGCTGAAATCGACTCTCAGTCTCACCATTTTTGATGTGTTTAACACAAACTGACAACAAGAACTGCGCCAAACACAGTATCCTAATATTTACTGGTTTATTTTTCAAATTTATGAATACTATTGCATGTAGCGTCAAAAATAAGATCGGGATTTTCAACTCCAATGTGAAGTCAGTCAGTACTACTATACGGATCAGAGACTTGGCGTGTCACAAAGAGCACCTCAAACAAGCTACAGACATTCATTAACAGATGTCTTCGCTCAATACTCAAGATCTGATGGCCGGCCAGAAAAGATCAGCAACAGGGATCTCTGGGAGCGAACCAACCAGGAACCGATTGTGAAACAAATAGGCAGGAAGAAATGGAGATGGATTGGTCATACTCTGAGGAAACCATCAAGTGACATCACTAGACAAGCCCTCGAGTGGAACCCGAAAGGGAAGCGACGAGTCGGTCGTCCAAGGGTGACCTGGAGGAGGAGATGAAAACGTGTGGGCAGATTTGGAGCCAGGTGAAAACTCTAGCAGAGAACCGAACGCAATGGAGACGCATGGCTGAAGCCCTATGTTCCTCTAGGAACTAAAGGAAATAATAATAATATGATAAACAGTGATAATACTATCTTCTAAGCCAGTAACCTGAAGGTCGTCGGTTCTATTACCGCTGCGACTCAAGTCTTCTTTACATCACTTACAGTCTGCCAAACTGAGACCATCTCAAGTATTCTCGAGAACAATTCAGATAGAGTTATGCACTACAGCCGTGTCCGAGTTTTGCACTTGTATATATAATATGCTCATGCCTTTATGAAATAGGATCTGACATTAGTTTAAACCAGGATGTGAGAATAAGGAATTTCTTTGCACAAGTCGGAAAGTTATAGAACCGAGTAGGTGTCAAAAACACTGCCTGTTACCATAGTGTTTATGGGGCTAGACTATTGTGAAAAGTCCAAACGCGGGAGAATAAAGGTAGTTATAGGTTTTTGAAAATAGTGAGAAGAAAAATAGAATTAATATACAGGATAATTGCACCTGATTTTTCACTTTAGTTGATCAATGTACAACAACTGAATGGTATTCTGCACTCTAAAGGATAACTGGAATAATGGTCAAGGGTTTTCTTTCCAACAAAGAGAGATGTGGCTTGTTAGTTTCGACACTCGACTTTCAATTAGCAGGACACAATTTAAGGTCGTGCTCTGTCTAAAAACTGCACAAGTATGGCGCATACCTTGGTACTTGAAAAATCTGACATTGTGCATCAGTTTCCTGTCATACATCTTAATCCATTGTAGTTTCACTAACTTCTTTTGTGTACTTCTACGGTTACTTTTCCTACATCTGCGTACTTGAATAGCCGAAGTTTTGTGCTAACATGAGTTAAGTCAGTCAGTCAAGAATTTGTTAGAATCCTGTATCTCACACTGACTTACTGGTTTCAACAACTTTGCACAGGTGTGCAACAGTTCGAGTTGCCACTCTCCACGTACCACACAAAACAAGAGAAGAGAATAAAGAGAGATAATAAACAGAAGTGTGAGGGGAAAGGAAGAGTAATAGGAAAGAAGAATAGATTTTATTGGATATGACAAATCACAAAGAGTGATTGCATCCGCGTCAGACATTGAGAGGGATTTGTAGCCATATCACCAATTGTGTCCAGTCTTTATTGGTTCTTACCATCCTGAGGACCCCAACCACAGGTTGATGGATGACATCACTTGAAGAGTAGAGTTATATATCCTGTTACCACATATTAAATACTCAGTCATAGCTACGTCAACCTGAGTTGCATAGCTGCATGAATCATCTAAAACCAGCATCATTATTTCTGAGTCGTTCACTGGTAGAAAAGCTAACCATGGCAAACTTTTCCTATAAGAACACCTTCCATCAACGACAATTGGAAGTTGCCGTCACATGCTACCTTCCCTCCATAGACATAAGCGGCAGCAGCAGAAATCTTCATTATTATTATTGTCATTATTAACTGACCGACTGAGTTTCAACATAGAACTTTGTGCAGAAGTGCAGCAATTCACCTTGCCACACTTCATGTAAAACTCAGCGACCTCAACCAGGAAGTCCATACCTCCCAAATTAACTGTTATGGATTTCATTGACTGATTCCTTGTTTTGGTTTGACCACCATTACCTCTTTTCAAGCGGAATCTTATGTCATCTAACATTAACCGTTGAGGTAGGCACTGGCTAGTCATGCGCACCATATGTTCTATTTATTTCAATTGATGTGACTTCACATCCTCGTTGATTGATTTCTGTTCCTTACCTAGCACTCGACGCCTTATTTCAATATTACTCACCCTATTATTACCACTTAACACGGCAGATACCTATGATTAAAGACAGCTGGCCAGGCTTTTCATGTCTCCCACTTCCAGTGACCATGTTTCACTCATAGGCATACAGGAGGACGAAGTGGAATACTGAGCAGTAAATACATCGTTTGACCCATAGCCAGCTGGATATCGCGTCTCCACCAAAGGTGGCATAAGTTGGCAAATGCCAAACGTGCCTTCTGTACACGTATAAAAGGAGAATGATGCTCAGGAAGGCTTCGTGTGCTTTTGGAAGTGTGTAGACAGTTGTTACTTCCCGGCTGCCCAGTTGATTGATTCTTCGGGTACCTGAAACAGAAAGAGGGTTAGTGTTGCGTGACCTCAGAGCCCAGGGGACAACTGCTTGAGGCCGGTCACACACGGCCTGTATGAACTGGTTTCTGGGATTGGTTCCGTATTAGTAAACTTACCGCCGGTTACGGACCACCGTAGGGTAAGTCGGGATGTACAATTATTGGGGTTGACCTTTTCTAATCCTATTTTTCCGGAGTGGAGAGACAGCATAGGTGGCTGGCATGCTGGTCATCTGAGCGCAACACCTCACTGCTGTTACATCCCTGTTCCCCAGCAGTACGACTTCGCCCTCAGACCCCCAGTAAGGTGTAAGAAAGATTCTTACACAATGCTGGTAACTGCTTTTAGTCTAATCGCTATCCTAACAACCTTCCTGGCATGGTAAGACCTGCAGGAACATTAATTTCAGGCAGTCTAGCCTGTTGGGTCGTTGCAATGTGCAAGCCCGACCACCATGTCACGGTAGCAGCTATCGGTCGGGGTACACGTGTTGAGATTTCGTCAGAGATCAATCCACTGGGGCTGGTGAAAATTCCTTAGCAAGTGAATTGGTGGTCAACACGCTCTACCACTTCACTCGATGATGTATCTTATAACAAAGTAATGATTTAACTGAGATTCTTCAAATGAAAGTCGTCTAATATACCAGCTTACTTTTCAGCTTATAGAAAACAATCTAACAATCTAAATATTTGAATGTCTTTCCGGTGTTGGTTTGGTCCGTGAAGATGTCGGTGTTCCATGATGAAATAGAGATTGAAGATATGGAGTATGATAAAGAGTCAGAAACATATTCTTATCCTTGTCCATGTGGTGATCGATTCTTAATTACAAAGGTTTGCTCTAATATAAATAAACCTCAGTTTTTACATTTAATATTTTAGGAAGATTTATTATCAGGTGAGGATATTGCACGTTGTCCTAGCTGTTCATTATATATACGTGTCATCTATGATATGGTAAGTTTATATATATAATTGCTTACTTTTTGTTTAGGAAAATATATCATCTACTGTACAAGAATCACCGGTTGGAATTATGGTTTCATGATTCACAGTCATCAGTAATATTTCCAAAGTTATTTTTATAATATACCCATCAGCAAGGAAACTGCTGTATTGCCAACTGTTGTAATTTCACAGCAATTATTTTCACAATAACAAAATATATTTTACTACCATGGCGTTCAGTTATTTTTAGACTATGAGATATTTTAAAGACATTACGGTCGTTTTAAGGAAAATATTCGAGTAATAAAAGCTGTTGATCTGTTCCAATGTCTATCTGTTTTCAACATAGAACTTTGCAACGTGATGTGCAGCAGTTCAAGTTGCCACACTCCCTCATTGTAGCACACAAAGCAAGAGAAGAAATCCAAAATAAAGACAGTAGACAGGGATATGAGACAAAAGGAATAGTAATAACGAAGAGCCATATAATTTCATTGGGTATTATAAGTCACAAGGAGTGTATGCATTTGCGCCAGCCATTGACAACGATTTTGAGCCATATCACCGTTCCGAGGACCCCAACCAGGAAGTCTGCACCTTCTGACGTGGTTTAAACTAACTGTTGTGGATTTCATTGACTGATGAAGCTGTGTTTTGGTTTGACTATCAGTGGCTCTTTTCCATTCTGACCCTATGTCAGCTAACCTTGCCCGTCGAGGCATTTGTTCTAATAGAACTACTAGATACTTCGTTTAATGTTCTGTGTAAGGAAGTTAAGACAATTTTTGGTGTCATCGGTCGGTTTTCGACATAGAACTTTGCACATATGTGCGGAAGTTCAAGTCGCCACACTCCCTACATGTAACACACAAAGCAAGAAAAGAAAGTAGGAGAAATGCATAATATAAACAGTAAACAGAAGTGTGAGACAAAGGAATAGTAATAACGGAGAACAAAACAGTTTCATTAAAAATAATAAGCCACAAGGAGTGGATGCATCTGCGCCACTGAGAACGATTTTGAGCCATGTCACCAATTGTTTCCAACCATTGGTTTTTACTGTCCCGAGGACCCCAACCAGGAAATCTACATCTTCCTACGTGGCTTAGACTAACTGTTGCGAATTTCATTGACTGGTGTCATGTTCTCGTTTGACCGCCACTAGCTCTTTTCCAGCCTGGCCCTATATCAGCTAACATTGCCCATCAAGGAAGGCGATGACTAGGCATACGTAACACATGTCCCAACCATCTCAGTCGATGTAATTTCACAGTCTCGTCGACTGATTTCCCTCCTTACCTAGCACTCGATCGACGCCTAACCTCAATATTGCTCACCTTATTAATCCACTTCACGCGGGAGATAGAACGCAGACACCTATGATCGAACACAGCTAATCTTTTCATGTCTTCTGCTCTCAATGGCCAGGTCTCACAGCCATAAAGGAGGACGGAGCGGACTGTTGAGCAGTACACACGCTCCTCGGTTGGTAGCCGTATATCACGTCTATGCCAGAGACGGTGTAAACTGGCATATGCGAAACTAGCCCTCTGTATCCATGCTGAGATTTCGTCAGAGATCAACCCGTTAGGGCTGATGGTACTTCCCAAGTAAGTGAAGTGGTCAACGTGCTCTACCACTTCACTTCCTATTTCTAATCTAGGAGGCGGTGAAGTCGAATCCTGCAGCATCATCTTACATTTTACAGGGGCGAATGGCATGCCAAACATACGAAGATTGTTGCTCAAGGTGTTCAGTAGACTCTGCATTTGTCAGCGTCCTCGCCTAGAAGGACTATATCGTCCGCATATTCTAAGTCGACGAGATTATTCCCTGGTAGCAAGTCAATCCCTGAGTCGCTGAAGTGAGTTAGGGTTAAGTCCATTAGTACGTCTATGATGAAGTTGAATAGGAATGGAGATAATGGGCATCCTTGACGGACGCCACTAGTCGTCACCACTTCAGATGACAACTCGCCATAAGCTCTCACCTGGCTGCATGGGTACGAGTAGAGTGCCTTAATCAGTGCAATGTACTTTCTCGGCATTCCCTTTACAGTCATGCATCGCCAGAGAACCTCTCGGTCGACAGAATCGAATGCCGCCTTTAGGTCATCACTTGGCCTCTACTGTTGAAGTTTTTTAATTCTTGTATTCTACCCAACCTTCTTTATTCCTTCGCCTCAATCTTTTCTTGGCTACTTGAAAAAGACTTTTATACACTGTGAAGGGTATTAAAAACGGTCAATAGGATGAGTAGAGTGTCGCCAGACCCACTATAGGAGACTCTATTTTCAGACGACTATGCATGAAAACGCTACAGCACCGTGTTTGGCCGGGAAACATTTTATGTGATGAGAAAAGTGTCAGGTATAACACTACTAACTAACTTTGAAATGGCCCTTTTTTTCTTTATTTTTTCTTAATTATTTGGTTATTATTCTTCACTTAAATCTAATTTCATATTCAAAATCTTATTGATGTAAATGTCCTGTTTTAATTATTACCCCCTTGTAATAAGAATATTAAATGCAATATTGTACTACTTCCTGAAAATTCCATATTTGTATCGAAAGTATTGTTTGGAGTAAAGCTGTTATTTATTAATGACTCAGATCGTAGATTAATATTCCCTATTCCTACCTACTACTCTAAACAATTAAGTAGTACTGTCATTAAAACTCGCAAAATGAATAAGTTCTGAGGCTTGGAGTTACTTGTACTCAATCTTCCGATCGTAGTAACCTACGTAAGCTTGTAAAAGGTCTTGAACAGACTCTATAAAATACCAGTCAAGAATGTAAAAGGTGGATACATGAGGTCTTACGAAATTCGGTGAAATATATATCTAATAGTACGGTGATTGATTACATAAAAGTTGTTCATAGGGAATAAAAAGACAGTTGCAGCGAAGAAAATTTCCTTTTCGACGAAATCATCAACTAGGCTGTACATTCGTGTATTTATAATAAATAGGTAGGAAAGTTCCAGAATAATTTCCGGTCAAGGGTCAAATTAATAGAATTACAATTAGGAATTAAAATGCCATAATAAACAGGGGCACGAATAAAACTCAAACAAAGTAGCATCATAATTACTGAGAATATTCATATTGATTGTGCAATTAGGGGTTAGAAATGTAGAAATAACAAAATAGACGGGATGTTTGGATAAAAAATCTAGTGGGATCATAACTAATGTGACGAATAATTGTCAATGCAGTTAGGGATTAAATATGTGGAAATAATAAAATGACAAATTAGACAGGAAGTTCGGATATGAAAATATGGTAGTGTAAATAGGGATTAAGAAAAACTTAAAATAACATGAATAAACAGGAAGTTTGGATAAGAAAGTCAATGGGATAGTTACTATTAGATGAATTACCTGTTTATGATGGCCACGGCATGGAGAAGGGATGAACGTATTTCTTTTGGATACATAGCGTGGGTTTGACCTTTTGGATGACTAGTGCCTCAGCTACGCACAAATGCTTTAATTTTGGTTCCTTTAATAGGTTTGATCGAATCTTGTATATTATTTTGAAGGATTTTTCGAATGGCGCTGAATGTCCTGAATTGACTAGATGTTCTGTCACTGAACTATATACCCGTTTTCGTTCTCCTTTTACTAGCCAGGCTGGATAGTGTTCACGAGCGCGTTTTTCAAGTTGGCGCATGGTACGGCTATAGTGACTATGACATTGCCTTTCTTATTCATACTTCCTGTTTATTTCAAGTTTTTCTTAATCCCTACTTACACTACCATATTTTCATATCCGAACTTCCTGTCTAATTTGTCATTTTATTATTTCTACATATTTAATCCCTAACTGCATAAACAATTATTCGTCACATTAGTTATGATCCCACTAGATTTTTTATCCAAACATCCTGTCTATTTTGTTATTTCTACATTTCTAACCCCTAATTGCACAATCAATATGAATAATCTCAGTAATTATGATGCTACTTTGTTTGAGTTTTATTCGTGCCCCTGTTTATTATGGCATTCTAATTCCTAATTGTAATTCTATTAATTTGACACTTGACCGGAAATTATTCTGGAACTTTCCTACCTATTTATTATAAATACACGAATGTACAGCCTAGTTGATGATTTCGTCGAAAAGGAAATTTTCTTCGCTGCAACTGTCTTTTTATTCCCTATAAAAGTTGTTCTTAATTAAACAATTCCGCTGGCTTTATATCTGCTCTCCTGCAATAAAGTATATTAACCCATATTATTACGACTATTATTGTTCTCTTGGGTAGGCTTCACAACAACTCATCTCGACTTTGTTCCATTCTCTGCGGTCCTACATAGCTGGCCTCACGATCGCCCATAGTCTCTCATTTCCTGTTCGCACGATCTCCTCCATGTCACTCTCGAAAGCGCAGCTCGATGTTTCCCGCTCGGGTTCCACTCGTGACTATGGCGTGCGATGTCACATGATGGTCTCCTCAACGTGCGTCCAGTCCATCTCTATTTGTTTCTAGATTAGCTATTTGGAACGTGGCAACTCGAACTGCTGCAATTCGGTGCCAAGTTCTATGTTGAATCCAGACAGATATTTCTTGCGCAATAGGTTATTGATTGGTTCGTTTTAGGGGTTCCTTGCTCCTAATTCTTTTTGGCCATTTGATTTTCAATATGGAGAGAAGGGGGCAGCTGTTGATAAGATTCTCGAGGCTTTGAACAAAGCAAGAACTACAGTTTTAGCAGAATAAAGTGGTACTATCTTTCATTTCGTTGCCTTCTCGTCAGCTGCTTACAGGCCAAAGACATTATTAAATATATCTACAAAAACAATTTTCACAAACTTGCACAGAGTCCATTTTAAACAAAAAGCAATCGATCAGTATATGCATACAGTACACTTCCGAGCAATAATAATCATATACAGTGGAAACTTTTCAGCAATTCGCATTCGGATGAAAGAGAGATGAAAATATCCAGTTACCAGGATAAAGAAAGACTGATAACCACTTCTTTCTGAACACATAAATCAGGTTTTAGGCGCTTGATTGAAATGGCTTCAGCAAACTTAAGGAGAATTGAGCTCTTTTGCCTATTGATAATTTTGAACGACTTTCCGACGTCCACCTCATGACCCGTGTAGAGGAGATGCCTGGCAATGGCATTGTTTAAAGCATTTGTTCCCTTTAGACGTAAGCTTTTTGGTACATGTTCAGAAAATCGTAGATATGCTCTTCTTTCTGTCCTTCCAATAT